AAGGTTATAGTTTGGCAGGCAATATGCGAGTGTGGTAAAACATCTAGTCCGTACATCACAACAGAGACGATGAACACTCAGAAATACGTTAAGGAATGTCTCCAGAAGCGATTGTTGCCGATGATCAGGCAGCACGAAGGTCAAGTAGTATTTTGGCCTGATTTGGCGTCATGTCATTACGCAAAGGACACTTTAGAATGGTACAAAAGTCAAAATGTATGTTTCGTGCCGAAAGACATGAATCCGCCGAACTGCCCGGAAGCACGGCCAATCGAGACTTTTTGGGCTTTAACCAAAGCAAAGCTTCGAAAATTAATAAAACCAGCGGACGACATCCAAAAATTCAAAAAAGATTGGCCAAAAGTGGTCAAAATGGTGGGAAGTACCACTGTGCAGAAGCTAATGGGTCATGTTCGAGGAAAAGTTAGAAGTCTTGGCTATGATTAAATATGTTGATTAAACGAGAGTAAAATATCATTTGAAATACAAATACAAATAGGGTAGAGCGCTACTTCGTCGTAATCGCCCATTTCCGTCCTATCGATCAGAAAAGATCAATAATATCAATGATTTCACCGTGCACAAATCAATAATAGATTTGTTCAGATGCGTTAGTTTATTAGCTACAACATAAATCCTGTTAGAGCGCATTGTATGAATATTTACGCTCATTGTTCTCAAAACAAAAGAAGCGTTCCTAGCGAATCCCCTTTTTCTACTTTTATCCGTAGGACGAAGGAAATCTAATGGCGTTTCAATGCGTTTGGACGGAATTGAAACTCGTAGGACGGATTTAGAATCAAGAAGCAGTATTAGATTTTAAACAATATCTCAACAATTTGTGACTCTTTATCAAATCCAACGGTATGTATGGAAAGGTGAATAAATTTAGAAGTCCTCTCTGAAAGAAATATTCCATTTTTTGTTCAAACCCGGTCAAAAACGATAGGTAAAACGCGGGTTGTGCTTAGTACGACGGAAATTAGATCAAAAACCCTATGATTTGCCAAATAAAATTAAAAATCTGGAAATTATTTCTTCATTTTCTTAAAATCGTTGGTAGAAGGTTGTCTGAAAACTGCTCAACAATTTGACTAATTCTCAAGTACTCATATCATGGTGACTTAAATGTAGTATAAACCAAATGCGATTGAACTGAATAGATCACTAGTTTAAATGGGTCATTACTATTCTTCCTCGATCTTGAATTTGTTATTGCGTTGTAGGGTCTTCAAAATTTGTCAATGTTTTAACTACCATGAAAATTAACTCAAAACTCTGTACATGATTTTATTGAATTGTTCTCAAGCATTTCCTTTAGAATCATTACCCGTCACAGAGTTCTTCTCTTCAGAATTCAGAATAACATAAATTTGAGATTCTATCTGGGAATCCCTTTTTTTCTCCTCTGTTCTGGACATAAAACTACTACGACCAGTAATTTGATCTATTGTAGTATATCCCGTGTCCTTAGTGTAGTGCATGTCGTATTACTTCATCACTATTGAGAAATGATGAAGTATTCGGTTTTGATACAGTTGTCATTCTTGCCTTCATCGTAAGGAATCGATTCTAATTGAAAGGTTCCGCTATTTGTACCCTTCGGAGTGTTGGAACACCCTCCAAAGGCACGCCCCTTTGTCAGTTAAAATTGGATTCCTTAGCAACAAAATTAAAGAATGACACCGATAGTGACCATGCATCAGAACCCTAGTCTTAACCACTTCAAACTAGGGAACAACGAATAGAAGATTAGGAATCACATAGATGAAGATTAACTAACTCATCTTTTCCTTCTTCCAAGATCATCCTGGGTCCAGGCAACCCGAGGACTTATCACTATCAACAAGGCATAAAAAGTAACAAGGACTAAGATGTGTTCCTTTGATTATTGAACAATCCTGAAGTAGTCAAGATTAGGAATCGGTGGTAGATCTTACATCCCGTAACGTACCACGAAAAGGTGATCTACCAACGTTACGGGGCAATCTGGGAATCCCTTGGGGGAAAAAACTAATATAACAGTACAGAACACTCCACAATCTCTCTGTTTTATTTAAGAAAATTCACTGAAGCTTCTTTCCATTTTTTTTTAAATTCACTTGAATTCTCCTTAGAATTTCCAAGCGATTCACCTCAGAATTGAAATTTTGTTCAACATAATCATAGAGTTCTCCTCTAAATTCTTCTTAAAATTCTGTAGAAACTCTCATCGATTCCATACAATTGCCTTAAAACTGTTTACACTAAAAATTAGATTTCCTTGGAATTTTTCACGAATCCTGGAATTCTCTGCACAATAAACATTGAATTGTCCACAGTGCTTCTTAAAAATTTTACTCTGAACCCTGACAATCGACTTGAAGTTCTAGTCAGATCTTTCGTAGTATTCTTTCAAAAACTCTAAAATTGAAATGGAAATTTTCTCGGAAATAGTTTGGTGTTCATTCTAAAATCTCCTAAAAATTGCTTCTTCTAGTGACTTTATCCTGAAAATATAGTCCTGTCCGTGGGGTTTGAAATGTTGTCAAGGACTATTTTTTTTTCGAATAGAGAACGACGTATACTTTTTCCCGATGTTTCATCGAAATTCAAGGGTTTTTCCCGATCACTTCGAATTTACGGCTTTTTTCCCGGTTTTCCTGATTTCCTGGTTCACTGGTCACCCTTTCATATGGACAAGACTAATGAACACACGGAGATGCTTAAATGAGTACTGATTATTTAATGTAGATTGACACACATGAGACAGACCTAAAAGTTGTAGATCACCTGTGCTGGGAAGGAGAGGATTAATGGTATGTTTAGAGAACAGAAAGAGTCAATGCATAGTAGGTATACCGATTACAAATCCAATCCAGAAGTCAGTGCGGATAGTTAAATGACATGCCGGCACTGATTGAAGTGCGGGTTCTGGGAATTTATTATGCGAACCTAGAGGACTATAATGGGATATTTGGGAGTGGATTAACCGATGTGGCAATTTCGCAGATCTTCGAAGCCCCGGAGACGAACCAGCGTTCGGCTGAAAGTCTCCTTAATAAAGATAACTAACTATCTTCGAAGCATGTCCAGTAAAACAGGCCTGAACATACTCATTACAACTAAAATACTACTTTTCGAAATTATGAAACTATGAGATATTATAATAATAATTTGTACATATAAGATGCAAATAGAGGAGGTAAAGTTTGTGTATGACACATAAAAACTGTCAATTTCGCTTTCAGAGTGTCACAATTAGCGATTAGCTATAACGAATAGCACTCACTCATGACGATTACTCATAACAGCTAAAATAGCTAATTGTGATCCTCTGAAAGAAAAATTTACTGGTTTTATGTATCTTACACAAACGTTACCTCCTCTTGATGCATCTTACATGTAAAAATTATTATTATTATATCTAATAGTTTCATAATTTAAAAGTAGTATTTTAGCTATAATGAGTATGTCCACGTCTGAGTGAAAGTATGAAAAGGGTCTTCAGAGGCATGCCCAAATTTTGTTGTTGAGCAAGTTCAGAGAAATAATGTGGAGTAGACACTGATTATCTGAACATTCAATTGGTTTGACTAGGCCTTAGAATCATCTGGCCTAACATTCCTACGTATGTGCCTTACTGGTATTTTGAACTGGCCCTTTGTACTTGGGTTCAAGTTTATTTTGTGCATATTCCGGACTTGTTCTTTGGGGGTCTCTATCGGGTTTGCTCACATGTTCCACTAGACTTGCTTATCATACTGTGTGGGCTAGTTCTTGGTGTTATTTGGACACTCTCTGTATCCAGCTTATGTTGAAAAGAATGGTAGATAATAAAGTAAAGTATTTACTGGAAAGGAGCTAGTGCTATATTCACGGGACTTTAAAAAAGTTCAAGAAACTTCTACATAAAGGTGCAGACTTTGCGAGAGATGATTGGGGTAAAATGGGAAACCAATTCTCCCAACACCTTATTCATCTAGTTTCAGCAGAAGGTTTGTTATCTAGGTTAATGTTACATATTCGGCTCCATGGTTTTCATTCCAATTATAATATTATTATCATATCTAGAGCGTTCAGAACCATACGGGCTAGTTCTTTTTTCTTATTCTTCTTCCTCTTCGCATTTCAAGCTTATTGATAATATCGCATATTCCGTGCCCTCAACTTAGTGTTCTAGATGCACTTCCACAGTTATTAATTGAGAGCTTTCGATGCCTGTACCATTTTTGCATTAGTATAATTGTGTGGTAAGTACAATCATTCTCTATGCCCAGGGAAGACGAGATATTTTCCAACCCGAAAAAAATCCTAGAACGGAACGGAAATCAAACCCAACCGATTTACTAACAGAAAGAGAAAATCGATGCAGAGAATCGATCATTGCAGTAGCCCTTATGATACTGAACGCTAGATATTCCTCTGGAATTAACCCAAAAGATTTCCAATATACCATATTCGGGTTAATGCCAATCTGGAAATGTCTTTTGCGTTAAATCCAGTGGGAAACTAGTGGATCTTGGATAGTGACTATGGCTTATGTTACAAAATAATAGAATTGCCCATTTGGGTTCTTGGCAGCTGTGCAGTAGGTAAGTATACAGACCAGCGTCAACTTGTTCCACCAGAATAGGTTTCAAAAGCATCCTTCAAACCGAGTGATAAATCACAAAACACTAATCTACAGCCGTATGTTTACCATCATTGCACTCGCCAGATATGTTGCGAAATGCTCCGTAGAGATTATGTTGTAATATGCACCACCGAAGCCACTTGACTCCATTGCGAACTACTATACTGTAACTACTGTGCTTGGATTGATAGAGGTATTGAACACAGAACAATAGCTGACGAAATTGTGACGATGATGAGATGAGACACGATAGGTAAGTACGATACGAATAGATTAATGATGGATATTGGACGGGCTCCAAAATGAAAACAATGATGGTGGAGTTGGTGAGCAGCCCTAACCCTCCAAGGAGACAAAAAAAAAAAAAGATGAAAAAGGAACTTACCCAATCGCGGAAGCGGAGCGAGGGGCTGTAGTAGTATTTCGACACAGGCGCCAGTTGTGTGCTTTCCTTTTTGTTACCTTGAACCGAAAGTAAGTGATGGATTAGGGCGGGGGAAGGCCGTCATAAATCAGAAGAAAAAATTTACCGTGTGGAATCCGCTTCACAATACTCCCGTCTGCAAGCGTATTTACAACGGGTTACGACACACACAAAAAACGCACTGATGGTCCTCTCCGGAAGCGCACTGCCTTCTCCCAAGGTTAATTTTTGCCAGCGCCAATAGGTTCCAAGGAATGCTGCTACCGCGGGGGCTGTTTTTCCGCAAGATATTTTTTCTTCGTTGCTTTTTTCTCTCCTGCTTCGGCTGCAGCCACCAGTACTGCGAGAAAAATGATTCGCGTTTGCGTTCGTCCGTCTCGTTTGTGTCTTTCTTGGAGACTGATTGATGCGCGTTTTGCTACAGTGTGTGTGAAATCTGTGTGAACCAGCGGGCAAAAGAGAAGCAGAAACTCTGGCTGTCAAAACGGGAACAAAGTTTGCTATAGAAAGGTGCAACCAGAGCAAGGGATAGGAATCGTAGGAATACAAATATGTTGTCGAGCAGAATGATCAAATCAGTGCTAATATTTGAAAACGGCACAAAAGCCATTTGTAAACAAATGGTTTGTGGGCCCTTTACTCACTACTTGAAGTACACCCACGCGACACAACAGCAACATCGGGTAGGGGAAATTTTCCCCTTCCTGACGATGCTGTTGGTTTGCGTGGGCGTTCTTCGGGTAGCGAGTAAAGGGCCCACAAACCATTTGTTTACAAATGGCTTTTGCGCCGTTTTCAAATGTTAGCACTGAAATGGACCACTTTGTCAAGCAGTTTTGGTGTGACGACTTCCATGTTATAGAGATTGCTAATACCATAGTCTGTACGGGGTATATTGTTGTTTATTGTCTATTGAAAAATTCAACTGACAATTATTGTCTAAATGAATAAAACTTAAACTAAATAGTTACGGTCAACGGTACGGAAAAGGCCAAGTAGCCGATAACGAAACACGTCAGCAGATACATTGAAGTCGAACATATAAAAACAGTTGTTGAATTGCCGGCAGATTGCTCGAATTGGCTCGTGTTGTGTATAATTAACCACTTCATTCGAGCAGTTAAAATGACGTTCACTACCACTCGAACTTTGAGATTTTTTCTTCTAGAACCACGAGAAAAGTAACCATTGTTTGTGCGTTTCATAAAATAATAGAAATTAAATAGTTGGTCCAGTTTTGTGGAATCGCTGATAGAAAGTCACGCCAAAACTGCTTGACAATTCCGGCTCCGTGGTTCCAAAAACAGAAAGTCGCGTTGACGAAGAGACCTCTCAGGGGAATACATATTTAACTGCCCATAATCGCAAGTCAGTCCCATCTGTAAAAAACCTGGAAATGAGAAAACGGCGTTCAAAGATTTTTCAAGTTTTTTGATTTGACAATTATGTTGGAGGGATAAATTTTAAAATACACGTACATTGTGATAGAATGCATCTATGTTTACCCAAAAATATTGGAAAAATATCGTAAAATTTTTATTTTATGGCCAAAATCTGAGTGGGACTGACTTGCGATTACATTTAACGTGAATGAGAAAAATAACCACAAGTCAGTCACAATTCCATGACGATGCTGCATTAGTTTAGCACAGTATTGAACAGTAGCAAGATACCATGGTCCCATAGAACGTTATTGAATGTTTCTGGATTTGTTGCGCTGGTTCCAGAGCAATGGCCGAAACATACTCCGGTGAGTATGGGTCTTCATCAGACCAGAGCTTTTCAGAAACGTGCCAAACCCACCATGCGATAAATCAATTTACATGAGAATTCAAAAATAAGATCAATAAGCGTAATGATGAGTGACCAGCACCATGTTGTCCACACCCGGACATGTTCCGGGTATCCTAGGGGGAGTGGTAACCCTAATAAAAATTGTATGGTTAATTTGCTTAACGACGTGTTCTGGGTATCATCCAAACCATTTGTGGAATAGTTCAATGATTTGCGTTATCGTTCGTTTATGGTTATTTTTTATTAGGGAAATCCGTTTTAAATCAAAATCCATCAAGCGATACATCAAATCACATGATAATTCAAAGCCATATCGAATGACGGTCAAACTGAGTATCGTAACAACTATATTGGCCACATCCGGACGTGTTCCAGATACCATAGGGGAAGTGGGCAAAATCTGTCTTGACACAAATCTCATAATGCGATGTGTTGTCTAGCATTTCTAACATATTTTTTCTAATGTGACTGACTTGCGATTACTTTTCGCTGTGGGACAATTTGACTTGGTATCTAGCTTGGTATTGTTTTTCATTTTTCTTGAACAAACCACCTTTTTTCAATAGCACATCTCAAAAAACATAGAAAGATAAACTGAATAATGATGCTAACTCAAAATTGATAAAAATGCAGATGGGACTGACTTCCGATTACCGGCAGTTTAGCCGTGACAGCAGTGTTGGACAGTCAATGTCACCTGTAAGCAGCTTTCCAGCGAACATAGCTTGAGCGACCGTCCGTCTCACCTCTAATGACTCGATTCCCAGGAGACGACAACGCTCCTCGTACGGTGGCAAGTTCGTTGGGTCACGTCAGTTGAGGAAACGAAGAGCATATCTCACAAACTTGCGTTGAACGGATTCAATTCTAGTGATCCAGCTAGCATGAAAAGGGCACCAAACAACTGAACTTGACTCCAATAAGGATCGCACAAGCGAGCAGTAAAGTGACCTGAGGCATAGCCCAATTGCCGATTCCTTTATGTGCTCTACACGAGCAAGACAGCGTCCGTAGTCAAACATGATTGGTTCGATTTTTCGTTGATAGGAAATAATGTTACATTTTTCTATGCTTAGACTCATCAAATTTCTTGAGCACCAGTCAGCAAAAATACCTAACATATTCTGGAGATCCCAGCAGTCCGAGAGGCTTTTAATAATTTTGTAGATTTGCCTATCATGTAATATAGGCTGTCTTGCAATGAGCACTCATACATAGGATTTCCAGTGAAAATTAGATGAATGAGTGCTCATTGCAAGACACCGTATATCACGTGATATACGCTGTAATGTAAACGGGGTATAAAGTGTGATTGCCGGAAATTTTTCCGCTATGAAGTTTTTTTTTATTGTTGAAAACATTTTTCGCAAAAATGAGTAAACATGCTTTTACTCAAATTTGAGTAAACGTGCCTATGAAAGAAATTGGGTAACGGTTACTCAGAAGATGACATTTGTCAACTGAGTGAACATTACAAATTTCGATAGAAACGAATGAATGCCCGAGGAATGTCCCATGAATGCTTTACAGGTATACCTCGATATAACGTAACTGTCACTTTTGAGTTCCATCGTCAATATCTCGCTAATAACAATTGAATCATACAAATTAATATTACCAGTAAATGGGGGATTATCCCATCGGTCCGATGGTGTTATTACTTTGCTTGTTTGAAAAATCAGCGATGGAAGGCAAAAGTGACACTTACGCAGGGGGTAAGTCACTCTGCCACCTTGTGTTTGTGCCAGGGGGTAAGTCACTCTGCCACCTTGTGTTTGTGCTTATTGTGTTTCATGTGTGTTTTTGGGTGTCGGAAGGTGTTTCTGGGTGCTTCATCGTATTTACGGATTTGTCAAAACTTCAACAGAAAAAATAAATTTACTGGCAACCATATCCTCGATCATAACATAACGCTGAAAATGACAGACTCCCTGCGATTCCTTTGCTGTTGTTTGTTTAAAGAAATAGAACAACTGGCGGGAGGATTATTTGGAGCTAAAATGACCTCAGCCCCGAGCACCGGATATCAGAGTAAGACATGGAAAAGACCGTCAGCTATACCACTGACTTGCTGCGTCAGAATCAGTAATAGAGTTCCATAAGCGTTTCGCAACTGTAGAGATCCAATTTTAATCAGCAGCCACTACCGTTCAGGGTTACTTGTCCACAAATTAGTTCTTGACACGGGCATTGGTCCTCTCGCTGCAGGAGGAAGACGAATGGGTACGTGCCACCCGAGAAGAAAGATCAAGCAAAGGGTACATTTGCAATTAATTGGAGGAGCCGTGATTGGGATGCCGCTGGTGAGAACCTAGGATTTACAATCAGAAACTTTTTCGTTGCGGTTGTAGTGGTTTTCTTGCAAGACAACTTTACATTTTTTAGCATCCTGATGCCGCTGCTTTCGTGGATCGTAACCGGTTTAGTATTTCCTTTCCTTTGGATTGGAGGTTTTCAATCCAAATCAAGAAATTCTTCCTTTCAAGGCAGAACGGTTCGACGTTTTTTCAGGTTTTTTTTTTCAGAACAAAATATCAATCGAATGTAAACATTATTTGCAGTGGTGCCAGAATTGATTAAAAAATTGCTTGTCATGCGGCGAAAGGGTGCTTGAAGTGTGTCGAAGTGTGTTTCTGTGGGTGTTAGCACAATGTGGCAGAGTGACTTACCCCCTGCACTTACGTTATATCGAGGTATAGCTTTATATATAAATTATTTCGTCCAGGAAGAATATTAAAAAAAAAAACATTATGAAATGATAATAAAGTATTTATTGATACCAACGAACTATTTGTTAGAGTTGTATACCTCACCAACTAGTCGATATTTTTTTCCACCGCCGCCAGCTCCCACATCTGGACCCTACCTATCGACCTATCAACTCATGAACCGGGGCTTTACTTCCCTTCCGTAGCTCGTTCCGAAGGAAGGCGTGATCAGAGATGTTATGCCACACAACATCCCGGCGGCACGGACTGTGATTGAACCAAGGCCTGCTGGGGTGAGAGGTAATCATGCTTACCACTACATCGCCATTTTGAACTAAGGAAAAATTTATATCAGAACCATTTACCCAGAATCTGGGTGGATTCCACTCTTCGGAGCAAACCCAGTTCACTCATTTTTTGACAACTCCATACAGCATGCAAAAATGAGTGCGATCTACCCAGGCGCCGAGTAGCTTCAGAAAAGCTCGTAAGCTGTCTTACAATGAGCACTCATACGTGAAATTTTCACTGGAAATCATTTGTATGCATATTTATATCAATAGATAGCCTATATTACATAATATCAGCTATAGTCTGAACTAGAGAGGAGCGGACTGGTTAATTTTGAGCCAAACGAACTTTCAAAGCCAGAGCCTAACGAGCAGCGCATCTATCTAGTATCTTGATTGCATTGGTAGTGTTGCTAGAAATCATATAGGCATAGGTTTCCAAGACAATTTGTTTTGAATCCACTTTATTGGGTGAAAAATATCTTTGGTGTACCGTAAGTTTGCTGACATACTTGGTGTGCCTTGTCGAGTGCCTTTGTCTCGTTTCGAGTCCCGCTTAAAAAAAATAAAATGTGGTACCCGAGGTGGTGCCCCATCTGATTTTCAATGGAAACAATTACTTCATCTACATTGACGCATCCACGGTGGAATTGACTCCATCTACGCGCTGGACACTCTATTTAAAGTGTTCACTGTTTTCAACATTCGTCCGCCAGCAGCAGTGCAGAAAATTATTGATTTTATCGATATCGTGTGTTATACCCCGTTCACATTACAGCCTATATCACGTAATATAGGCTGTCTTGCAATGAGCACTCATACATAGGATTTCCAGTAAAAACTAGATGTATGAATGCTCATTGCAAGACAGCGTATATCACGTGATATACACTGTAATGTGAACGGGGTATTACCATAGAGGTAACTCTAAGACCACTGGGTCCCGAAGAAAATCATTATTATTTTTGGCTCACTCAGTACCAGAACAACGGTCCCAAGCAGTCCCAAGCTATTTCACTCACCCCTGCATGTTCTGCATGAATCCACACACCCCTGATGTTATCTGTCAAACTTTCATAGCGAATCAAAACAAACATAGTGTAGTAATAGAATTTCAACTAGAATAGGGTACGTTAATCGTTTGCTTGGGACCAATAGGCTACTAAAGTGGTGAGCCAATTTAAAATCGTTAGTTTCGTATTGATTGTTGGTATTACCAACAATCAATTCGAAACTAACGATTTTAAATTGGCTCACTACTTGACTAGCCTATTGGTCCCAAGCAAACGATTAACAACAAACAATACGAAACTAACGATTTTAAATTGGCTCACCACTTTAGTAGCCTATTGGCATAGAGGTAACTCTAAGACCACTGGGTCCCGAAGAAAATCATTATTATTTTTGGCTCACTCAGTACCAGAACAACGGTCCCAAGCAGTCCCAAGCTATTTCACTCACCCCTGTATGTTCTGCATGAATCCACACACCCCTGATGTTATCTGTCAAACTTTCATAGCGAATCAAAACAAACATAGTGTAGTAATAGAATTTCAACTAGAATAGGGTACGTTAATCGTTTGCTTGGGACCAATAGGCTACTAAAGTGGTGAGCCAATTTAAAATCGTTAGTTTCGTATTGATTGTTGCTATTGGCCCTTCTAGTTGAAATTCTATTACTACACTATGTTTGTTTTGATTCGCTATGAAAGTTTGACAGATAACATCAGGGGTGTGTGGATTCATGCAGAACATGCAGGGGTGAGTGAAATAGCTTGGGACTGCTTGGGATCGTTGTTCTGGTACTGAGTGAGCCAAAAATAATAATGATTTTCTTCGGGACCCAGTGGTCTTAGAGTTACCTCTATGCGATTAACGTACGTATCCCATTCTTGTCGAAATTCTAGTACTACACTATGTTTGTTTTGATTCGCTATGAAAGTTTGACTGATAAAATGAGGGGTTAGTGGATTTTCCTATGTTTCGAGGGGTACATCGATTAGCTTGGGACCGAAGAGAGTACCAGAGCTGAACCAAAAAGTTGAGCACGTTTCTTCGGGACCTTCTGGTCTTAGAGTTACCTCTACCTACCCGAAATAACGTGCTCAACTTTCGTTTGCTTGGGACCAATAGGCTAGTCAAGTAGTGAGCCAATTTAAAATCGTTAGTTTCGTATTGATTGTTGGTATTACGGAATCAAAACGACCAGCATCCGGCAGGTGGTCAATCATTTAGTTTCATAGTTTAAAGAATTCATCAATGCTGGCAAAATCGATTCTGAATTACTAAACTCATTGTTTACATAAATGTATGAAATTGACGTTTAATTAACCACTTCATTCGAGCAGTTAAAATGACGTTTACTACCACATTATTTTGAGATGTTTTCTTCTAGAGCCACGAGAAAACTAGCCATCATTTGTGCGTTTCATAAAAAAATAGAAATTAGTTGGCTGGTAGAAAGTCACGTCAAAACTGCTTGACAAAGTGGTCAACTAAAACCAATTGAACCCAGATCCATTGGGGTTAGAAAGCAGTCACGCTTACCACAAAACATATTTAATTTTGTTCGCATATCTGTCAAACCAAAAAAAAAACATATAGGGGAAATGGATGTATTGTCGGCCTGAATGCCCCTAATTTGGGCCCATACATAAATTAGCAATCCACTAAATTTGCAATAGCGACCAAAAATATCCATTAGTACGGACCCAACGACGCGTTCATCTAGAAAAAAAAATGATAAATAGCAGATTTTTAGCGATGGACCCAATCTTAGATCCTTATGCCAACATTAGAGCTATTTCCCCTACCAACGTTTATTTCAACAAGAAATTTTTTTTTAAATAAACGTAACATTATTTTTATTTTAAACATTGATTTCAAATGACTTCAAACACGGAATACGTTTGAAATCAACCTAATTTACCTCAAATATTTTTGTTTCGACGATAGTTTTTCACGCAGCCTATTTTCCCGAAGTTCGTGTAGAATATTAGGTACTCCGTGTTAAAGTTCGAGTGCTGGAAACGCCATTTTAAACTGCTCAAACGATATGATCCATTGAAGGAATCCTTTTTTCATACAATTTGTTTTATCACTTCTGGGGCCCACTTCTGGCGATCTGTTAAATTTACGAGGTTCAAAATGTATATAGGTGATAGCTGCAGAGGTGCAAACAACGAGTTAAATTTGTAGATCTGCACTACTTCTGGATGTTGACATTAATGTTCGTCGGCGATTAATGTCCCTGAAAGCGCGAAGTGAAAGGATTCCGTCAATCTTGCCCCTTTAATGTTGTTAGGATTTCTCGCAATCAGCGTCTTGAGAACTCGAGATCGTTTGTTAACTGTTGATTTATAACACAATTCATAAATAATTGCTAACTTGATTGGTATAATAAATACGCATACAGTAGTATACAAAGTTGAATCTTCCTTATTATTTCACTCGTCACTTGCATTTGGCCGTTTAGTCTAGAAAGATAATAATGAATGAAATAGTAAATCAATCAGCTAACCAATAAGCAAGTTACATAATTGATTATTCTTATCATTACGTTGCTCATCACATAACGAATTGTTAACAGAAGAAAATTGATCATTAATCATTGCTCAACATATTTACCTATCAATTGCATACTAAAAATCTCAACAGAAAGACACTTCACTTAGCGACCATGGTCACGTAGCTGCTCCTATGTATTCTGTTGTCTAATTCAATGTGTTATCTTTGTTCCATATCAATTGATATCAAGTGCTGGCGTTTGTTATCATTACTTTCGTTATTCCCTGTATCAATGTGTGTAAATCAATTATGCACCTCTCAACCATTGAATTTATTTCCTATTGACTCACCTGTTGTCACTTATCCTGCTCTCTCAAGTGCCCTTCGTTTAATTCTCGCATAGGGTCCAATCGCTGGATCAGTCACGAAATCATACATCACGCGTACCCACGAAGTATGTTGTGGCATGGTTTCATAGAATTCCGGTGCAATCTTCTTCAACTCCGGTAGCCTGCTACCAGGAATGGCGGGGAAGTCATGATGTTCGTTATGATAGCCAACGTTGAACGTGATCCAGTTCAGAGGGCCATAGTAGGAATACGTTTCGAAACCCTTTGCATACATGTAGTGCTCAGCGATAAAATGTCCTGCTACAGGGTGAATTCCCATTGCTAAGAAAGAACCAATAAGCAAATACGCCAAGCTTTTCCAGCCAAAAATTACCATCACTACTGCATTGAAAGTAAGCTGTACTATAGTGTTGACGATCTCCAGTCTCTCTACGGGCAATGGATTTACAAATAATGGCCTTATAGCGTAGAACAGGGGTTGCAGAATGACCCATATAAACTTTCCGAAAGTGTTGCAGAATAACTTCGCTTCAAGAATGGTAGGCAAGTCAGGATCTAGTCTTTCTTCCGCCAAGTATCTATGATGAAGGGTGTGATATTTTTTGAACGAAACCGACATCGGCACTCCGATCGGTAGATTACACCACATGCCAAATAATCGATTGGCCATAGGTCTTCCATATCCGAAGGCCATGTTATGAGAAATTTCATGATTGGCCAACATCAGTGAATGGTTGATAACACCTCCAAAGCAATAAGCTACTAGGACAATCATTTTCCACGATTGGTCCTGCATTACATACAGCATGATGATTTGCGTTAGCACCATTGCCGAAACGATATGTTTGAAACGTGGGTCTGGTCCGAATAGTTTCTTGATTTGCGGATACTTTTGCAGCATGACATCACGACGACTCGTGTGAGGTTGGTCAGTATAGACCCACTCAAAATCGGTACGTGAAACGTGTTGCCCCATTTCTTGATTTCTGTAGAAAACTAACCTTTCGAAAAACCTTCGATAAGGGAAAATTTTCTCCGATCGTCTATTCTCACCATATGCTAGAAAGAAACTAAGTGGATTAGACGACCTCTGCAAGTGACGGGTACGTCTAGTACATACATAAAAGCTGATAACGGGTATAAAAACTTATCTATTTTCGGTGTTCGATAACCAGGCGCTGACTGAACGTAATGGTGATTTTTTTGCATTAGCTATATAATCTGATAGGGATGAATCAACATCGATTATTTTAAGCGATGTGTCTTGTTGAAAAGTTTTTGGTTTGCAAATGTTCGTAAATTTGATATTACTACCACCGACAAACCGATATGAATAGAAGTTGTCATGAAATTTCTGCTCAAAGGACATCACTGACATCTGTCCCCATGGTCGCGGAAAATGTTTAGCTATGCCACGATCACATGACCAATGTTTATGAGCTGGTTCATGTCTAATCCTTACATAGACTTTTTTTTATTTTTTAAGAGAGGAAGATTTTTTTAAAAAGAACATAGTCGGATAACATATATTTTAGCCTTTTTGTATGTAGGGGGAGGAGGGGCATAGTGAACAGGTGGGGCATAGTGAGTATTCCGTAGTTTGGCTCTGGATCTCCAGCTGCATGAAACAAATCAACTGGTAGTAGGTTCAATATCATTATGATATTGATCATACTACCAACCAATTTGTTCCGAACGGCCGGAAGTCCAAGCTGGTGCACGGGATGCTCACTATGCCCTCTTACCCCTATGTATGTAAAAGGTGCCACTCATTGTTGCAAGGCACAGCCATTAGACAGTCTGTCCACCTCGTACGACTTGATCAAGTACGATACCTGGTTGTATTCAATTTTCCATTTTATGAAGGGCAAAAACGGAGGGTGGACCCGTGAGCAGAGACACTTACGCTTGATTCACGAGTGCAAGAAGAAGCTCCTTCCAATAAAAAAAAAATCCGACCAGATACAGAACAAGCCATCATATGAGGGGATGTCCCAATGAGTGGGAAGAAGAGCCCACCTTCAATTCACGTAATGTTAACAACAGGGAGTTCGGCTCTCCCCATCCAAATCGCTTCAAAAAGGTTTGGTCCCATCCCTACCCAACTAACAATTTTAGCTGCAGATTAGCTTACACAGCCAAAAATTGGCTTATACAGTTAATTTTTGCCTGTATAAGCTAGTCTGCAACTAAAATTGTTTGTTGGGTACCTAATGAATTAATAATGTTTATATGAAGATTTTTTTTTTCTTTGGTTTATTTTCCGTCGATCTTGTTTTCCGTGCTGAGCACCAATGCTACCGCGCGCCAGGAAGGCAGCTCCCACACCTGGGCCCTACCTATCGACCCATCAACTCATGAACCGGGGACCAACGGCTTTACTTCCCATCCGAAGGAAGGCGTGATCAGAGATGTTATGCCTCAGAACATCCCGGCGGCGCCGACTGGGATTGAACCCAGGCCTGCTGGGGTGAGAGGTAATCACGCTTACCACTACACCACCGGCGCCGTTGTTATATGAAGATATGTAGAATATAAGAATATAATACTACTACCCAGTTTTCCCTTGGAATGTGCACACTTAGATTTTTTACCTGGATGGGCACCACCGAGCAGCTCGGAATTTTATGTTGCTGAATCTCAGTGAAAAACTTGCCGAGATTCAGCTAACAAACGGAAATTTTACCGAGATCTCAGCTAACAAACATAAATTTTGCTGAATCTCGGCAACCTTTACTGAGATTCAGCAAAATAAAATGCCGAGCTGCTCGATGGTGCCAATCTCAGCAAAAATCTAAGTGTATGGATCTTCATGTTCACCATCTGTCACTGCTTGCAAAAATATCTAATAGCAATTACTTGTGTTGTGATACTTCCTTCAACGAAAACAAATTTTCTTGCATTGCCATCCTAACAAACATTGAAAGCTGAATAAGAGCTTATTCAGGTAAAAATATGTTTCTTCAGGAAAAATGTAGCTTATTCAGCCTTTTTTCAGCTCAAATTGTTTGTTGGGTTGGTCATCTGGTCTAAAGTAGCTGGTCCACCGAGCACTCAGTTGTAGACAGCTTTAGTCCAGGAGTTAGAAGGTGATAGCTCTATTGCAGATCTAGCAACCCATTTCAGAATGTCTGGAAAGTCACGTCCATTTCGAGGTTACTTTCACTCACAATAAGCCCCACATAAATGCATCACCGTTATCAAATCGATATTGATTATACATATACACTTCTAGGTTCGAAAATATTCTTTTCAACCCTGGCATGTATTTAGTTTAATTTTGATATTTAATTTGTAAACAATAATTTGGACAGCTCTCACCATATTCTGCTCTTCCGCCGCCGTTAATTTCTCTAACGCTTCGTATTTCATTCCGTGCTGCACCGGCAATTTCCTTCCGTAGATCGTCCTTGGTTGGTTATAACATGACTCCACCTTTTCCGGGTTTTTCTTGTTTTCCGAGGGAAATAAATCCGCACTAATTTCCGTTCCTGGTTCAATGTGGACTCCTTCCTCGCTGGTTGGTGTGGTCGGTTATGAAACATGAGTCCACCATCTGTCACTGAATTGCCATGGTGACCTGGGACGAGGCTCACGTCCAAAGTCGCTGGTCCACCGAGCGCTCCGTGTGCGAAAAGAGAAGGAAAGAAATACGAAAGAGATCAGTTTCAAGACGTGACAGTTTCATCAGATTCCCCAACTAACCATACTCAAGCAAAGTAAGAATATACTAGCTATATTGCGACTAAATGGTTACTTCGGTACTCAAATGGCCGTCAGAATGGTTCATCGGTTGCGAAGTGAAGTATTTCTAAAAGTGATGCATTATATTTCTCAATGTTTTGATTTTATTCTAATGTTACCACCGACGAACCGACGTGACAGCTCATACAAGCTACTTTCAAATTCGTAGCCAAGATGCCATATTTAAAATACGTTAAATACTACCGACATCTACTCATCCGATCGCGTCATACCACCGAACCCACGTATAATTTATATTGCCTTGGTTTGCGTCTCACCTCGTTTGACATATCTGATCTATATATACTATAGTATCTATAATCTGATCGCCCGTTTGAAAGTTCGAATCGCTCGTTTGACAATTAGAATTGTGGACAAACGAAATGCTACTGTGTCATGTCGGTTCGTCGCTGATGTTAACTCAATGTTATATCACAAACAAAGAGACACAACACATTGAACATTTCTCATTGTAAACCCTACCGCCATCTGTCGTATGCACTGTGATAGGCAATACACTCAACAGATGGCTGCAGTGTGTAAACATCAAACGCAAGGGAATTGATTGTGTGGGCCACAAGTGGCGGTACTACCAACTAAGAAACATTCAAATTGACCGTTAAAAGCGATTTCGATGAACATTTTAAGAGTGTTATGTCTGCTTGTATGTGATCATACCTTCACTATCGCAACTTCGGGTAATCCACGAAAGTACTTGCATTTTTCTCAGGCAATTTTGATCTAAATGCAATCACTCTCTCATACTCGAAATGTGCCACGACCAAATTGGCACAACGACGCCCTATACGCTCTCTGACCGAAGCACAGGGTAGATATAAGTATGAGAATGTATGGCAAAATTCACTTTTAATTAAAATTATCAATAATGGTGCAATTTGTCCGATATATTATTTCTACATAATGTCACTATCACTAAAAAGAGCACAATGTAGATATTTTCTCACCACAAGAAGGAAGTTTTGAAGAGGGGCTGCATCTGTTGGAATTGATGGTGGAAACTATTACTCAATTGCTCAGTCGGGCCAGCGTTTTAAATCAATGTTTTCAAGAGTGGTCACATTAATAACGAATCTCGGAAGAACGGTTCATGCTTAAAAGAACAGTATTCATCGTAAGTCATTAAACGTTAATGGAACAAATTTTAAAATAGGAACGAGCATCTTCTAAATGGATGAAAATATGATTTACAACATAAACAAACCAATTCCGCCAAGGTGGGCATTCTCTAAACAGGCCTGACAGGACTAGGAACATAGAATAATAATTATAAAATTTCAAATGAACAAAGTTGAAAAGACGCATATATGTCACATGAAAATTCATACATGTAAACCACACAAATTCCAGAGATAACGATCATCTAAAGTGAAAAAAAGTACTTAAAACATTAAAAACCGGTACAAAATGAGGATTAAACCGAGGATAAAACGGCAAAATTTTCAAATCAGAAAAACATTCATAAAATCATTAAATTTTAGGAAAAGAACGATTAGCTTAAAAAATAAGGAAAAATTGTCGTTTCAAACTGATAAATGCTTGAGACCCAAGTAATTACAAGAATAGTAAATTTTGAACGAACTGGCTCTTATTTCGAAGAAAAAACTTGCTAGAGCTTTTAATTTTTATGTAATAATTTTATAAGAAAGAAATGCGGCTTTTAAAAGAAAGAAACATTAATCTCATGAAACCTTTGAATCCTAGTTTTGTAAAGATTGTATTATGTAAATCTTGGAAGAAATTAGCTTGAACAGAAGAATTGTTGGTGGCAAAATATCCATCGGTGAAATGTCCCACTCCCGCTTGGAACGTGTCGCATGGGTCCTGAAAGCAATTCGGACGCTGTTGCAACAAACAAAGAATTCAAGGTTCATCAACTGGCCAACCTAATATTTCTGTATTCACGTCATCAATATTATTTCCCCTTCGCATCAATATATTGATACGTGTGGGTTCACTTTAGGTTAAACAAATGTAAATGTAATTGGACGTTCTCAAACAAACTTTGTTCTCATATGCCAGAATTCAAATTTATTCGTTAGTAAAGCTTTCACACCAAAAAGTAGATTTCAATCCTTAAAACGTTGACTTACAAAAGCAACACATCGTTCAAAACTACACTAATCTTTGCAGCACCTGTATTCTAAAGCAATTACTTTCTTCCAGTGTCTAAGAGATCCTTTTCGTGTGGTAAATGGCCGCATGATACGAGCTAGCAAGCGCAGACTTCTAATTTGATATAAGATTTCCAAGTTAGGAACTCATATGCATCTACTG